CAGCAGATTGGGTGTCTGGTGAGGGCCACGTCCAGCGTCCAGTGGCGCAAACAGCCACCTTCCTACTGTGCCCCCACAAAGGCTTTCCTGGTGCTTACATGTGGAGAGAGCCCTCTCTTAAGGGTCGTAATCGCATCATGAGAGCACCACCCTCATGGCTTTTCTGTAAACCTAATTACTTGCCAGAGGCCCCACCTCTAAACACCATTGCACTGGGGGTCAGAGCTTCAACATATGGTGGGGGGTGAGGGACACAAACATTCAGCTCGTAACAACAGCAGACATAAATTCCAATAGAACAAATGATAATACATGTAAATGTATTGAACTCAGCAAACGGAGAGAATCTTAACTTAGATCCAGCAATATTTTGTCTATGGAAGACAGAGTTAACACAAAAGATATGAGAAAACTTGAAAACAAAGGGATGGGAAATTATATACTAGGAAAGTATGAATGAAAAGAAAGCCAGGATAGCAATTTAACTATGAAAAAAATATAATTAAAGGCAAAAAAGAGAGAAGCACTTCATATAAAAGAGATTAAGATGATTATAATTATAAAAAGATAAACACCTAAAAGTATAACATTAAAACAGGGACAGCAGAACGATAGGGAAATATCTGTACACCAACTATTGTAATTAGAAAGTGAAACTCTATTATATATTGAGTTAAAATGAGAGACTTTTTTCTCTTTGATAGGTCAAATAGATGAAAAATCTATAAAAATATTTGTTTTGCATGAATTGTAATCTTAAATACATGGGGTGGGTCTTGAGAATGAACTTTAAAATGAATAGAACAATTCTCAAATGAAATATTCACAGTGTTCACCAGGGAAGCCTCAGAAGTCAAGTCAAACCATGTTATCTAACTATAACGCTCTACAGTTTGGAATTGACACAAAAATAAAAGCTGAAATATATGTTTAAAAACACATATGAACTACTGAATTGTTCTTGGATTGAAGAGGACATTTTTATACAAATTAAAAATACTTAGACCTAGGGGCGCCTGGGTGGCTCAGTCATTAAGCGACTGCCTTCGGCTCAGATAATGATCCCGGAGGCCTGGGATCGAGTCCCACATCCGGCTCCCTGCTCAGCGGGGAGCCTGCTTCTCCCTCTGACCCTCTCCCCTGTCATGCTGTTTCTTTCTCTCTCAAATAAATAAATAAATAAATAAAATATTTAAAAAAAAAATACTTAGACCTGAACAGCAATAAAAATTTGCGGGATACCATTAAAATAGTACCATGAGCTAAAGTCATGGCTGTTATATATACATATGCTTATTAGAAAATGTGAAAATAAGCCAGATAAACTAAAAAAAAACAAGTATAAAAAATCACTGAAATCAAGAATAGCGATCTAAAAACAAGATTAACAAAACTAAAAGCTGGCTCTGACAGGACTAGTAAGGTGGATAAAATTGATTAATAAAAAAGGAAGGCAGAAGAGTGAAGAAGGAGGTATGACTATAGTCACAACAGATTTTTAAAAATAATATTATGAACTATATGCCAATAATTACAAAAGTTTATATATAATTGATAAATTCCTGGGAGAACAAAGAATGCCAACACTGGCAAAAATAATTGAGTAAACCACTAAGCATTGAAGATACTTAAATAGTAGTGAAAGATTCCCTCCCCTCTTCACCAGAGCTTCAAACTCACTTTTGTATAAGAGTACTAATAGGGCGCCTGGGTGGCTCAGTTGGTTAAGTGACTGCCTTCGGCTCAGGTCATGATCCCAGAGTCCTGGGATCCAGCCCCACATCGGGCTCCTTGCTCAGCGGGAAGCCTGCTTCTCTCTCTGCTTTTGCCTGCCACTCTCCCTGCTTGTGCTCTTTCTCTCTGTCAAATAAAGAAATAAAAATCTTTAAAAAAAAAAGTACTAATAAATTTTCAAGCATCTGATCATCCTTACCTCACAGAGTTGTAGCAGAAAAGAGAAAAAGGAAAGCCTGCTTCATTTACTTTATATGATTAGTATACCCATGATTCAGTAAATTATAGTTCTGTTTGGCTTTTGAGTTTTAATGCAAAAGTCTTAAATGAAGTGTTAACTTACTAAATCCATCAGTTTATTGAAAATAATACAGCATGATCAAGTGAAGCAATGGAAGGGTGGTATAATATCAGCAATTTTATTAATCTAATTCACCTCTATAATGGAATGAAGATAAAAGGAATGTGACTATTTCAGTAGATGCAGAAACAAATCACTTAATAAATTTCAAGGCATTTTAAGTTTATTTTTAAGTTTATTTACATAACTCTACACCCAATGCGGGGCTCAAAGTCATGGCCCCAAGATCATGAGTCACAGGCTCTTCTGACCGAGCCAGCCAGATGCCGCAAAACATTTCTGATAAAAACTAAAATAGTCATCTTAAAGGCTACAACAAACATGGTGCTGCAATGGAGAAGGTTTCTATACATTCCATGCAATATTGGGACCCACACAAGAATGCTCACTTTTATGACTACTGTTTAATGTATGCTAGAGGTCCTAGCAATCAAGTAAACATGGTAAATAGATGCATAAGTGTTGAAAAAGAACAAAGTGGTATTATTTACAGCTGACAAAATCATTGACATAGAATTTATAGTTTCATTTACAATAGGATCAACAGGTAAACCAGTAGATCTAATGAGAAAGGAAGCATTTTGCCACTGCCAGAGATGCTAGAAATGTAATAAAATATAAAACAGAATTTATAACAACTAAAAATAGGAATTAATCTAAGAGAATATACCAGACTTCCATGGTAAAAATTTGTGACTCCATTAAAGAACAAAAAAGATGACCTGAATAAACTGATGTAGCATTTTTTTAAAAGATTTTATTTATTTATTTATTTATTTATTTATTTATTTATTTATTTATTTGACAGAGAGAGAGAGGCAGCGAGAGAGGGAACACAAGCAGGGGGAGTAGGAGAGGGAGAAGCAGGCCTCCCGCGGAGCAGGGAGCCCAATGCGATGCAAGGCTCCACCCCAGGACCCTGGAATCATGACCTGAGCCGAAGGCAAACGCTTAATGACTGAGCCACCCAGGTGCCCCCTGATGTAGCATTTTTATGCACGGGAGAACATCACAAGAATGTCTATTTTCCCTAATTGCAAATTCATTCAAAATCCCATCAAAACGTTTGGAGCAACGTAATGTATTTATACTAAAATGTATATGGAGGAACCAATGTCCACAAATAACTCAGTTGGTTTGAAAAATAAGAGAGGTTACCTGTCCTCCAAGACAGTAAGATGCTGCAAAGCCAGAGGATTAGAACCGTTGTGATATAAAGGAGGAACTGTAAACTAGAGGGGGAGATGATTTATGAAGCAGGGTGAAGTGGGAAAACGACTTTAATATATATGGAGAAATACAAAGTTGGAAATACCTCTTACCATATACAAAGGTTAACCCTGGATTCATCCTTCATTCAAGAAATATTTATTGAACACCAACTATGTGTGAAGGGCTTTTCTAGATACTGGGAATGTGTCCGTGAAAAATGCAAAAGTCCTTGCTGTCACTGGAACCTTAACCGCAGGGAGTAAATGTATAAAACCCAGGAAAACAAAATGTAGGAGACTTTTTTTCATGATCTTGGAGTGGGGAAGGGCTTATTAAACAAGAGTCAAAAAGCAAAAAGATGGGTTTGACTACGTCATCATTAAACATGAACGTACTTTATGACCCTATGGCTCAGAGAAATTCTCTTACATTTCCATAGGGAGGCTCATTCAAATTTGCTCTTCATAGTGTTGTTTCTGGAACCAACCTAGGTGACTATCTCTTTAGGAAAGGATAAGCAAACTGTGGTGGAAGGACACTACTAAATACTGTGCATCATTAAGATACTGAATTACATTACAAGAAACTGGGGTATTGAGTGAAAAAAGTAATAACATAATTGGAAGAATAGAATATTGTGTATGTAAATATAGAAGATATATATTCACAACCAATGCTGTACATTCTACAAGGGTGCATACATGTCAAGGGCATATATCAAATACTATTGAGCTGCTTCCTATGGGGGAGGGTGTGAACATTGGAATGAGAATTAGTGACAAGGGGAATAAAGATGAAATAAAACCAAAGAAAGGTCTTGTATGGATTGATGGTGATAATGAGTTAAGAACTGAGGAATGTGATTAACTTCTCAACTCTCCATACTTAAGTCCAAAAGAAAGAGAGGGGGAGAGATTCCCACTGGAATTGTGAAAAGATGGCGAACCAACCAGAAGGATTTAGCTCCCTCAGCTCCCTGAATATGGTGGCTGCATTTCACTTCTTACCTACTTGGTAGTAGCTATGGATTTCTGTGACCCAAGAACTCAAAATGGCTCACACTTTGGGACTCCAACCACAACGTCTGTTCATGTTGTCTGGAAATCTAGAGTTCTTCTCTTTAATAACTTTGGAAGATAAGTCCAGTAGGGTAAAATGAATCACTATGGTTTGAAGATAGGTAAAAGAATGGGCATGGAATTTGGTACATTCCACACTAATCAGGTCTTAATTAAAATTTTTAACTAGCAGAAAAATGCAAAGGACTTTGAACAAATTCAACAAATCCTTCAGCAATGTGTTTCCAGTCAAAATCCTGTGAATGGGCACAGCTCTATGCAGCACACTTTTCCACACTGGGGGATATGAGGGAGACCCAACCATGCTTTGGTGGCACTTAATATCTAGATGGGAAAAGGAACCACACAAAGGAGAATATCTTTAAGATGCCCACAGATATCACTGCAGTACAGAACTACATCCATGCTGCTAAAGTGGTTGGTGCATACGTGAAATTGGGCAAAACCAGTGAGAAAGTGTTTCCATGGATGTGTCTGGCAGGAAAATCAAGATTAGTAAGAAGGAGAAGAGCTAGAATGCGGGGGAGAAGGACAGGTGGGAGGTCAGGGCCCCTGCCATGACCAAGACTGGGACAGGCAGGTGCAGAGACCATGTTGGCTGTGGGAGGCTAGGACTCAGATCTCTTGCCACCCCTGTGTACATCTCCATGACCCTAGGACTCCTCCATTTGGGCTCAGCAGAGAGGCAGGAACATGTGTTTGTTTTCTAGATGAAGAAGTGGAGACCCCCGGACAGGGCAAGAGGTTTCTTCAAAGTCTCATAGCCACAGGACTGGAACTCAGGCTCCTAACTCATGGCCAAGTGTGCACTCTTCTGTATGAAGCTGTGCCTCAGATCGCTGGTCTGCAGGAGGGCATCAACCATGGAGAATAGGTTCAGCCCGTCCTATTCCAGGCAAGAAGAGTGAGGGGGGGAAAGGAGTTTCAAAGCTGCTCATGGTGTATGCATGGGAGGCAGGGATGTGGGGAATAATTTCTCTGAGGTTGGTGGACAGAATGTCTTCAGTCACCCAGACCAGGAGAGTCTGAATTGTCCCCTAGAGCTCAATCTTCCAGAACCACACCTGCAGGAGAAGCAGGGTTGCCAGTGAGAGCTGTCACCCCATCTCTTCTCTAATTGCTTTGTTCAGTCTCCTTGTCTTCAAGGCAAGACCTCCACATAGTCACTGTTACTGTTCTCTGGGGGGAAAAAAGCAGAAGACCATCCATGAGGCAAACCCGGGGGTTGCACGGACCAACCTCACTCAAGGGAAAGAAGACCTCTTCCCCAGGCACAGGAGGACCTCGATGCTACATCAGAGTGACATCTTCAAGGGCGGGTGTATCACAGGGAGCTCCCCGGGCAAAATAGGGGGGTCTCTTTATAAGTTTAGGCATCCAAGTTTCCTGCTCCAGCAGAAAACCTGTGTCTCCCTCAGAGTGAGAACATCTGAGGCTTATTCTAAGGAGGCCAAGGGAAGGGGAGGAAGCCAGTGAGCTGAAGAGAAGATGTCTCCCCTTTGGTAGCTGAAGACTTGGGGTTACCTACCAGGGCTAATCAAGTGTGGGCAGCCGGGGTGGTAAGACTCCCGCCCAGTTCTTGGGAAAGATCTTGAAAGAACTCTCCCCTTGGCATTTGTGATTATTTTATCATTGCTGGACAGATAACGGCCACAGCCCCCACCACCCTCAGCAGCTCATCTGGGTTTTCCTAAGGACTGCAGTGCGCAACGTTCCTGGGTTTCTAGCTCTGCCCCTTTTTGTGCTTTTGTTCCTATAAGTTTCGGTGGAACGTGGCCGTGGGATTACACCTGTAGCTAAATCTATAGGAAGTGACTTTGCGTGTACATGGGTGCACAGACCTTGGCAGGGGGCAGGGGGCAGAGGAGGGGTTGTTATTCTCATCATTAAAAACTCATGCTTAGTTTTGCTGGGAGGTGAGAATCTTGCCCTGGTGGCCCGGAGGGTGACTTAAGTAGACAGTAGAATGTGGGGTGATTGCAGGCTCCCTGGAACTCTGCCCTCTGCCCTTCTCCCTAGCTAGCATGTCTCCCCCCAGTGCCCTCCACCCGGCCACTGATAACTGAAATCCCTCTGCTTGGGAATGTGACCCTACGTGCCACCATGGGAAAACAGGAGTAAGCCGTAAATGTCTCAGGAAATCCGTGTTCAATTCAAACCACGTTGTAACTGACAAATACTAGAGGGATGATTTTCTGAGGGCAGGTTTCACGGGGAGCAAGTAAGCAATTGTGGCTGCTAGTGATACAATTTGAGAGGGCCTCAGTGTGGATTCTCTGCACTCAAATTTACTGGCCATCTCTCATTTTCCACCATGGCTTAATTCCATTCGGGATATATCTGGAATAATTTGTCCCCTAACACTAAATAAATGAATGCTCAGCAAATATTGAGCAAAATGTACCAGTATGGGCCTTGGGGAGGGCATCAAAGCAACTTTCTCATTTGAAAATTTTGCCTGCTTGTCCATCTATTCCCAAACCTGTGGTTCGCAGGATGGGTGTGAGGTCAGCTCTTCCAGAATGCACCGGGGACCACTCTTGCTCTCCTGACTAGCCAGGCAGAGCACTCCGTGTGTTGGCCACCTTCCGGGGCTCAAAGACACTGCTTCCCAACAAGACTGATGTTGCTTTTTTGTGGGCAAAGTCTTTTAGAGATAACACGACAGAACAGGGTGTGTATCTGTATAAATTCTACAAAGTCGGCCAGTGGAAGAAATGGGACTAAAGTTCCTTTCTGACCCCCACGTAAGAGTTTTTACCGTAAATACCATCCAGCTTTATCTGTGATCGTCTCCATCTCGGGCAGAAGCTGCCTTGCTTTATCGGATGTCCAAGGTGGACCACCAGCCCTTGATTTGGTTTCTCAAATGTGGAGATCAATTCCTTTAGGTTTGAGAAGATCTGTTTGGGAACACCTTCTACGGTCTGCCAAAATACAAGATACTCATCACCATCCACTGTATGTGCAATGTGACACCTCAAAGCAGTGGTTTGAGCCCTCAGAGCAAGGCTGCCTCTCCCTCTGCCTGTCGCTTCCCCTGTATTAAGGAATTATCACAATTTCCCAAAGCATGCACAACAAAGGAAAGAGTTCATATAAGTTGCTTTTTAGAAAATATTTTATGTTGAAATAATTTCAGACTTGAAGAAAAGTTGAAAAAATACTTTTAAAATTTTTATATATATCCTTCACCCACAACCCAAATGTTTTTTTAATTCTTTTTTAAAATTTTTATTTATTTATTTGACACACACACACACACACACACACACACAGAGCACAAGCAGGGGAAGCGGCAGGCAGAGGGAGAGGGAGAAGCAGGCTCCCCGCTGAGCAGGGAGTCCAACATGGGGCTCGATCCCAGGACCCTGAGATCATGACCTGAGCCAAAGGCAGACGCTTAACCAACTGAGCCACCCAGGCACCCCTCACACCCCAAACGTTAACATTTATATTGTACATATTTGCTTTTCATTTTCTTTTGCTAAATGTACATGTATATACGTGTACGATTATAGGGATACATAATACATATTCTTTTTAAAAAAATATTTTGAGATTAAGTGTGGACATGATAGCTCTTTAACCCTAAATACATCAATATTTCCCAAAAAGCAAGAACATTACATATCCACACTGCAGTGATTAAAATGAGGAAATTAGTCTTGATGTAGTACTACTTACTAATCTATAGAGCTTATTCAAATTTTGTCAGTTTGTCCTTTGTAAGAAAAGAAAAATTATACACACACACACAGGTAGATATACTTAAACATGTATGTGTGTGTGGTGTGTGTGTGTGTATGTGTTTGGGGATCACGGTATATTCTAATTTCTTTTAGATATTCACAATGAACATTAGCATATTGAAGATTCTGAGAAATCTGGCAGTGAAAAATCTGCTTAACCTTGTCTGCAAGTGTTTCAAAAAGATTATTTCAGGATTCTTTGCTAGTAAAGGTTCAGTTAATATTATACTCTACTTCTTAAGCCAGAGAAATTATTTCAAAACAAAAAGGTTTTCTGCTTAATGCTCAGTAAACCAGAAAAATTAAAGAAACCCCTAAGACTGCCCATTGACTGATGCTTACCTTTATATTTTCATACAATCGTGGAGCTCACTTGTCTTCTTACGTGTTCGGACTGCTCCCCACCTTCCCATTCCGTCCCGCCCTGGTCACTGTGTGTCTTCTAATTGGATGGCGACCTCGCCTGGAGTCCATCCTGGTGCATTTGACCACTGGGGGAACCAGGGTCTACACGTCTGAATAACAGCCTTGAATATTCAAAAACTCTCCCTATTTCCCTCAGAGAAAGACAAGGTTTACTATGGATCTGACTCTAACTCTGCATGTTGCTTCCCTTTTTAAAATGCCTCTCCATTGCCACATCTCAGGTTCAAGAGATGATCTCAGGTTCTTCTCCCCCAGTCTTTCGTTACAGGAGTTCTCATACGTTCTTACCTGTATATTGTAAAACCCATGTCTCTCTTTGAAGATTCGGTACGTGTATACGAAATTTTTAAACCTGTGGAAAGATGACTGTGTGAATCGTAATGTTCTCATATGTAAAACCAGGTCTCTTCTACCTACAGCTCTATTTTCTGCACAATGCCTTTGGCAATCTTGGGTCCCCAAAAGAAACTGATCATTTTCAGGCATTCTCATCTGTGGGAATTTGAAAGCGACAAAGGCTTGGAAATGGGAACACTTATTCTGATGGTGGAAGTCTGGGCTTGTAGCAAAGAGGGTAAGGAGAGAGAATTTACTATTTCCATGGTCTTGATACTTCTCTCTAGTTTTTTCACTTAGCTCTAAGTTGATACAACATAAAAAAACACCATTGAGCCATTCCTGTATTGTTTACTAAATGATGTGTCATTGAACTTTATTAGAGATAGTTAGTGTTAATGAAAAAAAGAGAACGTTGGGAATTTCGCCCAAGGAAATGATGTATTGCTCTCTTGTTCTTCATCGGAACTGGCTCCGCTGGCTAAGTAATCTAACCAGAATCTAGATAATAGGCCCAATCTAGCAATTTCCAAAGCAAGACATAACATAAATACATTACTGTATTTCTCCAATTCCAAGATGCCATTAATTGTAAGGGATCAATTTAACAATAGCTTCCCAGGAGGAAAATGCATACATTAAATGTCTCTATCAACTGTTTAACATGTTCTGATTACCCAGAAATATTAAAGTGTAAAAAAAAGAGAGAATGAAAGACATTGACATGAGGCTCAGATTACCTAATGATCCCTCCCACCCCATGCCCGCCCCCCCGCCCCCCCCCCGGCCCCCTGGCCCCATGCGTGCACCTATGCCAAAGAATCATTTGATTGAATTGGGAATTTGGAAAGCAACTTAAGAGCTTTAAGGTACAGAGGATTTGATCACTGATTGTCAGGAGGCTTTGGCCATTGACTTCAAATCCCAATCCTTTTTGTGGGGGTTCCTGAGGCCAGAATAAGCCAGTGGGTGTCCCCAAATCACATCGCAAGCAACAGAACATTTCACATGAGTTTGGTGTCCACATGTGACAAAATATCCCATATCTGGGAAGAGGTCTCAAATATTTCTTTTCAGGGGCGCCTGGGTGGCTCTGTCATTAAGTGTCTGCCTTCTGCTCAGGTCATGGTCCCAGGGTCCTGGGATCGAGCCCCGCATCGGGCTCTCTGCTCAGCGGGAGGCCTGCTTCTCCCTCTCCCACTCCCCCTGCTTGTGCTCTCTGTCAAATAAATAAATAAAATCTTTATAAAAAAATTTCTTTCACAGAAGTATCATTCAAATCGGGATCCAAACGAGGTCCATACATTGCATTTGTCTGATCATGTAGTTCTTTGAAACCCAACTATCATATGTTAAATTCTTAAATGACTTCATTTTTAATTATGTTGTTGTATTATCAGCTAAGAAAATCTCCACCAGAGGAGTATGAAAGATTAAAACAAATGGAGCTTCTATGTTAACTAGTCCAAAAGCCATATACTTCAAGTTCTAAAGACAGACATAGCTCAAATATGATCTTTTTCTTTTTTAAAAAAGATTTCATTTATTTATTCGAGAATGAGAGATTTAGGCTTATAACTTTGAACTTGTGGTTGCCCGTAACTGCGACCCTTTCATACTATGAATTTCACACATCCCATTCTCTGGTCCCCACTCCCAGATCCTTTCCTCTATTCGCTGACCGCATCAGTCCCTTGACCACAGAGCCTCCAGTCCTCTGGCCTTACCACTTTCCACTGTTCTCATTCACCTGTCTTCGTTCCCTTGGGGTCCCGACTGGTCTCACTTCCAATTGATGACCACAGACCTCCAGTGGGCTCTTGGTGCTCCAGGCAATCAGTGATTTCCCCGTTCCCTCAATAGTGATTGTACACTGTCCCCTTTCTTCGGACACCCCAAACACCTCACCTCACTAATAACTTCACAAAGATTCAAGCAGTCGGAAGAGAATTCCCAGACTCTGAGCTGCCACAGCTGTTCGCCTGTGGGCTCCCATCCTCAGCCTTTGTAACCATGCACCAACTTTGCACGCCACTCTCTGGAACAAATTCCTCTTTCACTGGGGGCCACCCATTGTCATCTATTCAAGGATATAGTTCTAGCAATTTTTTCCTCTCTCTCTCTCTCTGAGGTCATAAATTATTATTCTTTACACGACAGCCAGGGTGGCCCTTATTTAAAAATGAGAAACAGATGTTTTTTGACTTAGAGAGCTTTATTAACTTTTCCCACTTGTTCAAAAGATTTTCCCATACAGATAAATAGCATAAATATTTGTAATCTACTTGCAATCGATATGCTTTTGATTTTAGCCTAATGTATTTTGTCATTGATTCTTATTTCTTCTAATGTTTAATAAATGGCTTTAAGTTGTGTGCCCCCAAAAATGTGAGTCAGGTCATGTCCCTCCTCTGCACAAAAATATGCTCAATTTTTTTTTTTTAAGTTTTACTTGTAAGTAACCTCTACACCCAACACAGGACTCGAACTCATAACCCCGAGATCAAGAGTTGCATGCTCTTCCAATTGAGCCAGCCAAGCACCCCAAATCTGGTCAATTTTGAATAAGAAAAATAAGATTGGGGTGTGTGTGTGGCAGATGGCTGTATTAACAGGTCTCAAATCTTCTTATAAAGCTATAAATAAGACAGCGAGAACTGGTTCCAGGGTAGAAAAGATATTAATGTGGTAAAATAGAGAGCCCAGAAACAGACCCATATATGTCTGAAAACCTGGTATATGACAGAGCTAGCACAGCAGATCAGTGAGGAGGGATGGACTATTTGTTAAATAATAATGGTAATGTCTTAATGTGGAAATAAATAAAATCGGATCCCTACTTCACATTCTAATTGAAGACCTAACCGTGAATCAACAAAACAGTGAGCTTAGGAAAAGTAAGTGTAAGTGAACAACTTCATGACCTTGAGTTAAGAAAGGAGCTCCTACATCAAAAAAAGTACAAGCCCTAAGAAAAGATTAATAAACTCACTATATTAAAATTAAAACCTCCGATTGTCAAAATATATTATTAACAGAGTGAGAAAGTCCACAGGCGGGGAGAAGATCACCGTAGCATTACTGTATGATAAGAACACTAATGTACCATTTAAAAAAGGCTAATGAAATGTCCACTAAGCATATGAAGAGATGTTTTACTTCACTATCAATCAGGGAAATACAAATTAAACCATAATTAGATATCATTTCATACCAGATTGGCAAAGACATGAGAGTTTACTTATGGAAAATATTGGCCGTGATGTAAAGCTATAGAAAGTTCTACCTACAACTAATGGGGATGTAATTAGATACTAATGTCTTGGAGAACAATTTGGCAAAGTTTACTAACGCTGAAATGCATACAATCTGTAAACCCAAACGTGCACTTCTTAAGATTGGCAATATTGGCACAAAACTGACAATGCCAATATTATATTATTTATTAAAAAAGCAAAGATCACAGAAACTAAATATTTAGTACATTGAAACACATTTACAATCTAAAAAATCACTATATTATAAAATATTAAGTAAAAGTATAAGTTAAGGAAAATACATGAGATAAATACATATTTTCTAATATAAAAACTATCATTAGATTAGATTAATTGGGACACCTGGGTGGCTCAGTCAGTTCAGCATCCGAGTCTCGGTTTCGGCTCAGGTAGTGATCTCAGAGTCCTGGGATTGGAGCCTCATGTCAGGCTCCTAGCCCAGCGCAGAGTCTGCTTAAGACTCTATTCTCTCTTCCTCTCCCACTGCCCCTCCCCCTCCCTCCCTTTCCTCAAATAAATAAATAAATAAATAATAAAATTAATTAACTGACATACAGTATTCAAAAAACCAAATGCTCCAAATCTTATTAAATTTTCATTAACAATGAAAAATTTCAAGTAGAATAAGCCTTTTTAGTATATTTTCGACGTGAAAAAAGGGAAGGAGAGAGGTAGGGATGAAGGGAGGGGGAGGGAAGAAGGCAGGGAGGGAAGGTGAATCAGTAGGGTCATCACTGAGTTCTGAGGATTTTTTATGCAAACGTTTCCATCCCCTGGAAAAGCGTTATCTGTTGACACCGTTGGGGAATGCTAAGGACATAAAATTTAAGTTAATTCTGAATACTTTCCTTCGATTTGTTCACCTTCAAACAACCTCATCCCTTGAACCTTTTGGATCTTTGTAAGAGTTGATATCTTTACTGAAAGCAGAGTTTGCCACTTAAGCCGTTAGTAATGTCAGTGGTTACGTTTCTAAGATTCCACATGCTCACTGACCGCTCTGAAATGGTCTTTATCCGAACACAAAAACAAACAGTTGAAAGGGCTCAGTTCTAATTCCAGTGTAGTTGACATACAGTGTAGTCTTAGGTTCCGGTGCACCATACGGTGCTTCAGCACTGGCGTGCATCACCGGGTGCTCATCACAAGAGCCCTCCTCAATCCCCATCACCTGTTGCCCCACCCTCCCCACCTCCCCTCTGGTGACCAGCAGTGTGTTCTCTAGAGTTAAGAGCCTGTTTCTTGGTTTGTCTCTTTTTTCCCTTGTTTTGTTTCCTAAATTCCACATATGAATGAATTGAAATCATATGCCCACAAGATTGGTTGCAGATATTCATGCCAATTTCAACTGTAATTGATCTGGCTGAGTAAACAGATTGTAATGCCTCCCCGGAATGGAATACTGCTTAGCAATGAAAGGACCGAACTCTGGCGCACGGAACTATACGGATGAGTCTCAAAGTAATTATTCTGGACGAAAGAAGTCAGACAAAAAGGGCTACTACTTTATGATTTGATTTACATTAAATTCTGGGAAATACATAGACATCCATAGTGCCAGAAAGCAGGTGACGGTGCACTGGGGCTTGGGTGGGGGGTGTGGAAAGGGGAGATCACAAAGGGGCAGGAGGGTAGTTTTGGAGGTGATGGAAATGTTCATTATTTGGGCTGTGGTGATGGTTTCATGAGTGCATGCAAATGTCAAAATTCATAAAATTGTACACTTTTTATTTTATAT